CGCCGTGGGAGGCCGGCGAGGGCTGTGGGGGACCGTGCAAACGCTGCAGCGGCGGCACGAGCGGCGAGGGGCGCAGGGCGAAGCCCAACGGCGACTGCACACTGGGCACAGAGCCGTTGGCGCCGGAGCCGTTGGCTCCGGTGGGAATCGAACCGGGGAGTGCGCGGGAGCCAGAGGGTGCGCGGGAGGCGGAGGGGTAGCGGGGCGTGGTGGCGAAGGTGAGTGCGGGCGTCTTGGCGTTTTTAGCGCGTTCGTGTTGAAGGGCGACCATGACGGCGGCCATGAAGAGGCGGGCAGCCTTGGTGGTGGAGTTGAACTGGGGATTGTAGTGGACTTCCTGGCCCATGGGGACGGGTACGGTTGGTGCGGGGTGGGGGAGGCTGCGGAGGTGGGCAATGCGACCGAGTTGTCTTGCGAGTTGGGCGAAACGGTAGGGATCTTCTTTGGCGAGATTGAGAGCACGGTCTGGGAAGAGCGAGGCGACGATGCGTTCGCTGTACTCATGCCCGGGGAAGAGGAGGGTGGCGGGAACGCAGGTGAAGTAGAGTCTGCGGAAGTTGTCTTCCATCATTTCGGCGGAGCCCTCAAAGGTGGCGCCGCAGCCGCCGACGAAGAACGTGTCTCCGAGAAAGAGACAATCCGCGCGGTCGAGTGTGCGCAGACGGTAGGCGACGGAGCCCAGAGTGTGTGCGGCAGTCTCATGGCAGTGTACCCGTGCGCCGCCGATGAGTTCCAGTTCGTCGCCGTCTTGCACCCACGTGTTGGCGTTGAGCACGCGGTCGCGGCGGCCCCCCACAATGGCCGAGATGGTGGGGTAGATGAGCGGGAGTTTGTCGTTCCCGCCCATGTGGTCCCAATGGTGGTGCGTTGTGAGGATAGCTTCCAGCCGCAGATTGCCGTCGCGGTAATGAATGTTCCCGATTGTGTTCATGGCCTCGTGCACTTCCTCTGCGTTAGCGCAGTCCACAATGAAACACCTGTACTCGCGACAGTAGGCGTCCACACTCTCATAGTTCTTGTTCACCACGAGGTACGCATAGTTATCGTGCAACTGTGGTATCACATGCACCGCCAACGGGACCCCAGTCGCCGGCTCGTCGTCGGAAACCTCACCGCCACGACACGCTGCGGACTCCGCCCCGCGCCCCGTCGTCTCGCTACCACGGCCCGTCGTCTCACTCCCACGCACTGTAGTCTCGCTCTCGCGCCCGGCCGTGTCACGCCCGGTCGGGTCACGCCCGCGGCCACTTTTGGCCGGCGCGGCGCCGGTGACGTCAATGCGGATGGCGCGACTGTGTGCATGTAGGTTCCTTTTCGCACGCGAACGCGCACACTGCCACGGGTGCACACGACCCACACGATGGATGTACCATAGACGCACCGCCGCCGGCACAATCCAGATCGCCAACGCCTTCAACGGCGCCTTTAACAACCGACCCAACCAACACAATAGCTGACCCGCAGCCGCTACTGGCAACAACGCCAAGAACACAAACAACGAACAACACAACGTCGACCCCGCCAGCCGACGCCGTGTTCGCGATGGCACGCGGATTTCTTCCTGGACTGCTTCTACCAATACCTCATCGAAATCGTCCATATCACATGTCTACTTTTTATTCCTGCTGAAACCATGCCCTCCGACCCACCACAACCTCCCTGCAGACCGAACCTCTTCCCAATCCAACTGGCTGCCCGTTAGTTCCAAATAGAATGCCTTGTCGACGCCCTTGCTTTGTCCGGAATCCCTTCGGTGGGATTCCTTCTCTGGAATGCCTTATGGCGGCTCAAAGATCGAGGCTGACGACAAATGTCGACCCTGCAGCAAACGCCAAAGACCAGCCCAAGATCCAGAAATACCGCGGCCCAACACGCCCCGGCAAGACCCGACCCGGCAAGACCCGACCCGCGCAATGCAAGACCCGACCCGCGCAATGCAAGACCCGAACGCGCCCCGTGAACTCCGGCGGAAAAAAAATACGGCTTTTGGAAATGTATGGGGTTAGACCATCAGGGCAGTTCGGCGGCCTCGCTGAACTCGGCGGAGCGCCCCTCATCATCATACAGGACCAGCAAGAGAAAAAGAGACTGACCGGGCACGAAGCACATAAAGCAAACCTCATGGCGGGCATTAAGGTAACTTGCGTACACAGGATGCCACGGCCAGTGACCTATCACCCCCTTATATCCCGACCTATATACCTCTACCCCCTGGGTGGGTGTCACCGTCCCTTTGCGTGTCACCGACACCCACCCTTGCGTTGCGGCCCACATTTATACTGAGGTTAGATTACTGGTTAGGCTGGTTTTTGTAGGTAGCGGAGACGGTGCGTACGTCATTCGGACCTAAGGGGATGGATAAGATAGTGATATCGCAGGACGGTGATGTGGTGGTAACGAATGACGGTGCGACGATTTTGAAGAAGATGCCGGTAGAGCACGAGTGTGCCCGTTTGTTGGTAGAACTGTCACAGTCGCAGGATGACCAGATCGGTGACGGGACTACGGGTGTGGTGATTTTGGCTGGTGCATTGTTGCAGAAGGCGTTGAAATTGCTGGATAAGAATCTGCATCCGATAAAAATTGCGAACGGGTTCGAAAAGGCGAGTCGGGTAGCGATTGCGCGCTGTGAAGAGGTTGCGAGCAGACTGAGCCTGGAGGACGAAGAGGCACTGGTCAAAGCGGCGAAAACGTCGCTGTGTAGCAAGGTGGTCTCATCGGAGAGCGAGAAGCTTGCGCGCATCGTGGTCCAGGCCGTCCTGGCTGTCGCAGACAAAGAGCGCGGAGATGTCAACTTGGATTTGATCAAGGTGGAGTACAAACCCGGCGGCCGTCTGGCGGATACAAAGTTGGTCGATGGCATTGCGCTGGACAAGACGTTTTCGCACTCACAGATGCGTACCGAAATCCAGGACGCGAAAATCGCCATTTTGACCTGTCCCTTCGAACCGCCTAAACCCAAGACCAAACACAAGCTCACCGTGAAGAGCCGCGAGGCGTATAAAGAGCTGGTGGACAAGGAGCAGGAGTACTTCAAGGACATGGTGGCCAAGGTCAAGGCCTCGGGCGCCAACGTGGTCATGTGCCAGTGGGGCTTCGATGACGAAGCGAACCACCTGCTCTTCCAAAACGACCTGCCCGCAGTCCGCTGGGTCTCGGGCAATGAGATCGAGCTCATCTCCCTGGCCACTGGAGGACCGATTGTGCCGCGGTTTGAAGACCTGACGCCCGAGAAGCTCGGCACGGCCAAGTGTGTGCGCGAAATCAGCATGGGCACCGAAGACGACCGTCTCGTCCTCGTTGAAGGTTGTCCAGGGGGTCGCGCAGTCACCATCCTGATCAGAGGCAGCAACCTCATGGCCACCCAGGAGGCCAAACGCTGCATACACGACGCGCTTTGTGTCGTACGCAACCTCGTAGCCGATACACGCGTGGTCCCCGGCGGCGGCGCCGTCGAAACAGCCTGTTCGCTTCGGGTGCTGGAAGAAGTTAAAAAGACTACCGACCTGGACCAACACGCCATGGAGGCCTTTGCAGAAGCACTCATGGCCGTGCCCGAAGCTCTCAGCGAAAACACCGGCCTAAACGCTGTCGAAACTCTCGGCAAATTACGCGCCGAACAACTCAATCAAAAGAACCCAAATCTCGGGGTCGACTGCTATCAAGGACAAGTCACCGATATGCTCGCCAACCAAGTATACGAAAGCCTCAGCAGCAAGACACACCAAATCGCGCTCGCCACACAAGTCGTCAAAATGATCCTCAAAATCGACGATATCATCGTACCCAATTCAGACCAATAGAATTTTTACCCTGCAAGACAGCCAGGCACACGCTCACCGGTGTGACATTCTTCCCTTAACGTACCCCCCC